TCGGACAGAAGGCCCGCTGACGGGCCGCTCCTGTTACCCGGCAACATGCCCCCCCCCACCGAGCCGCCCCCCGCAGCCGACGCCAGCTCCCGAGCTGGGGACCCACGACCGAGATGGCCCTCACCACTGCGCAGCGAACTCGACTTCGACCCCGACGCACTGTCCACCTCCCCTGCTGACGAACAGGAGCGCTCGCCTCCCGAACCGCCTGCCCCCTCACGAGAATGTCGCTGGGAAAACAATCGGCACCAGTTCCTGCTCGGGTGCGCGCACCGATCTGGTAGCCGAAAGGGAAGAGCCCCAAGAACACGACGGCGAACGCGCCCGTAAGTCACCCCGAACTTTGCAGCTCCGACCCCCCCGCTGCCCCCAGCAAAGACGCGGGCTCTGGCGTGTGCACAGACCACCCCCCTGCTGCTGCGCATCGGGTCCCGCACATCCGAGTCCCGTACACCCCCCATCCTGACCCCCACGACCGCCTCTACAACCAGCCGCACAAGAACATCCGATGGCACTGCACATGGAGCTACCGAGCCAACGGCGTCGAAACGTGGGCCGAGGTCGTTCACCGACTCAAGAGGGAGTGCGGTCCCATGTTCGTTATCGGCTGGAAGGCTCCCTGCGACCAGCGGGTGGGGCGGCCAGGAGCGACTTATGACCCAGACGGACAGGACGACTTCTGTGAAGCGATCGTCTGCCAGCCACGCAGTGAGGACTTTGACATCCGACGACTGTACTACGCATGCGGACTCCGCATCAGCTGGCACGCAGCACAGGACGCACACGCAGAAAGGAGGGAGCACCTAGCTGGCAAGGGCAAGGCTAAAGGCAAGGCCCCAGGCCCGACAGGGAAAGGCAAGCGACGCCCTGACCCCACCTGGCCCAACAACGAGCAGCCCGCGCAGCGCCTTCCAAGCCGCCAACCTCACCGCCCCTAGACCTGCCCTCGCCGCGCGGGCGTGCCTGACAGGCATGCCAGAACACCTCCAAGGGAGGGCCCGCGCAGACCCGCAACCGCACCGCACCCCGGGCTGCCTCGGCCCAGGGCCATACCTCTGCGCCTGTATTTATCAGGCGCCTCGAGCTCCCAAGACACCGGGCTGCGCCGCCTGCGAGCACCCCACCCAGCCACGGGACGCCACTCCCTGCCCCCCGTCCGCACCAGATCCTCATCTGCATCTGAATCATCGCCCCGCCCCTCGCCCGCCCCCCCGCCCCCCCTTTGGCTTGCCCCGCCCGCCGCCAGCCGGCCGGCCCCCCCGCTGCGGGACGGGACGCAGGCCTCTCTTTTGCTCAGCGCGCCGGTCGCGGCTGCCTCGACTGCGATAGGCCGGCTCGCCCCCGTGGCGGGCCCCTGTCCGCCTGGACCAGGGGCGCCCGCTGACGCCCCCTGGGCCTCCTGTCTTGCCGCCCCTCGATCCGCCGGGGGCTCGCCGCCTCCCCCTGCGGCCGCCCCCCGCGTGCAGGCCCACGTCCCGCTGCCGGGACCCTGCTGCTTCACATCACTGCGCCTGTTCGGTGCCGCGCCGCCGCCTTCGGCGGTGGCGGCTTCCCCTTCCCGCTGCGGGTTTCTTCCACCCCGCTGGGGGGCGCACCCATCATTTCTCCCGCGCCTGTTCGGTACCCGTCCACCCGCCGGCCGTCGTGCCGCCTGCTGCGCGCCGCCCTCCTTGCGCGTGCCGCCCCAGCCCACTGGTGGGGCGTCCTCCTCCCTGTTCGCATTCCCCCTCGCTCGCTCTCCCTCACTCCGCGCCGCTATGGCGCTGCCGGCCCCGCTGACGCCTCCGATGGCCGCCAACCGCCGGCACCCGCACCAGGCCTGGGCCTGGTCTTGCCGCCCGCCGCTGGCGCCACAGTCCCGTGATGGGGTTGGGCAGCTTCGGATTTGATATTGCTACGCGCTCGTCTTCCGGCACTCGTCTTTCTGGACTGGGCCCCGCCGCCCCCGGCCCGATGTCGCAGCAGCCGCCGCGTGCCGAGCGGCGGGACCGGCCGCGCCACACGCTCGGGGAGCGCTATGACCCCTGAGCCGCCCGCCCCGTCATTGTTTTCCTTCGGCCGCGTTCTCCCTCCATCCTCCTCTTGCATTGTGGCACAACTCGCTCCATCGGGACCCCCGCTGAAGCCTCTCGTCGCCAGCGCAGTCCCCCCCTGCCTAGACGCCGACGCAAAACGTGTTTTTTTACTTGTGTTTGGACACTCGATGCTGAAATCCATACGAAGCCCAGAAAAATTGTCGAATCATGTCGGCATGCGCGCGCGCGAAGACGCGCGCGTGCGCACTTCGTCTCATTTGTTGCAAAGGATTTTTGAAAACTGATCTATTGATAAGCGAGTGTGCGCGCATAGAACATGTTGCAGAGGATGGCGGGGGGATACCGGCCTGCCCGGGATGGTACGAATTTATATGTCGGATGGACGATAGGGCAGAATCATAGGTAAAATGCCATACGAAAGCGGGAGCGGGTAACCCTGGGGGGGGGAGCATCAAATTTCGTTTAAGAAACGAGAAGGTATGTGGTGCAGTGAATTGATGTTCGCAGTGAGTTGTCAACCCCACTGCTCGCGCAAACATCCCATCCGCCCACCCGCAATTTGATATTCAAGACACGTGCAGTGGCGATTGCGATGAGTGTTTGGCGTTGGCTGGTCCATCTCTGCGGCCGCGCCAACCCAAGCACGCCCGCGCAGCGGCCAGCTAATTTGGCGCGACCGACGCGGCCGCGGTGGCGCTGACCGGCTGGCACATCCCAGCGGGCACTTCAGTGCGAGTCGGCGACTTGGGCGGGCGCGGTAGCATGGCAACGTTGGCAACGGCAGACACGATGACAGTAGTACGGACTACGATGACGGCGTCCTCGCGTCGGTGATGATGGTTTTGGAAAGAGTGAAAGGGCTCGACATGTGCGCGCGGCCGACGCGCGAGAGTGGCCTGCACTGTATGATGTGATACGGATCGTGCCCCCCCCCCCCCCCCGCACACGAGCAAGGGCGCGCCAAGGATTTCGGCATGCGGCGCCAGAGGCCCTTTCGGCAGAATTCGATGAAGACGTTGTAGAAAACAAAAGCGCCTGATTTTCTGAAGGATCCGCAAGAGCTCGAGTGCAGGCTTTGTTGAAACGGATGTTGCGAAACCCTGTGTTTTTTATATGTTTGTTGGACACTCGGTTTTGACACCGTTGCGAAACCGAGGTTGTTCTACGGATTTGGGAATGCGCGCGCGAGAACGCGCGCGTGCACTTCCTCTCATCTGTTGCAAAGGATTCTCGCGACGGCACGCGCGCAAGGGCGTTCGAACGATTTCGGCATGCGCGCGGGAAGCCCGTTTGGTAGCATGTTCGGAAAAAAACTATGAAAACCTATGGTTTCCAGAAGAATTCGCAAGAACGCGCGCGCATGTTGTTTTTGAACGTTCCGCGTTGCGAAACGCGTGTGTTGGTATATTCTTTGGACACCCGATGACGAAATCCTTGCGAAACCGAAACCGAAGGTTTTAAGAATTTCGGCATGCGCGCGCGACGACGCGCGCGTGCACTTCGCTTCATTCTTCATTTGTTGTCAAGGATGTTCGGAGACTGATGCTTTTTGGATGCGCGAGTGCGCGCGCATAGAACTTTTGCACAGGATGGCGGGGGGGATACCGGCGCCCCTGGTATGGTTAGGATGGACGATGGGGCAGAATCGTATGCATATTGCAATGTAGAAAGGGAACGGGTAATCCCCGGGGGTGGGGTGTAAAGTCTGCTCTCTCTTTAAAAAGGAGAATCTGTGCGACGGCGACAGCGGCGGCTGGCGGCACCGCCAGTAGAAGCCGCCACACGCCCCGAGCGGCGACGACGGCGACTGCGACGGCGACGGCGGCGACGGGCGGCACCGCCCGCAAAAACCGTCATCACCCCGAACTGGTTAAGCCAAGAAATTCGCCGGCCCAACGGGCCAGAGGCGTGGTAAGATCTCCGGTAACTGGTTAACAATATTTTTACTTCGCGCGCGCGGAGCGGCCCCTGGGGGCCCCCGGACGAAAAGTACCTCGGCAAGGTCCCGGGAGAAGCCACCAAAAAACTCGAGGGGAGGGCCATTTTTCGACACCCCTCACGAGGATCGTGGCCTCCGAGGGGGGAGCCGCAATCGACTACCCCCCCTCCCGCCCCAGGAGGCCCCCAAGAGCCCCCCAAGAGGCCCTGGGGGCCCCAGGACGCCGCCAAGGAGCCCCAAGAGACTCCCAAGTGGTCCCCAAGAGGCCCCCAAGAGGCCATAAAGAGGGCTCCAGGGCCGGCGGCATGAGCGAAGCGATTAAACAACCCCTAAGTGCAAGCACTGTTCGGGGAAAAACTGATGTACGCGGGGCCATCGCGAAAACCACAATAAAACAACCAGACGCCCTCCACTCGTGAAAGATTTTCAAACTTTAAAAATGAATGCTCGCGGCGCTGTGGCGGGAACCACATTTTTACAAGGAGCCACCTTCCATCCGTGAAGCTCGAAAATTTCTACGACGAGTGTGCGCTACACTGAGGCGAGGACTACACGCCCTCCATGCGTGAAACCCTTGCAAACTTTACAACGAGTGCGCGCGGCGCTAAGGCGAGAGCCACGGTTTGAAAATCACCCGCCCTTCCGCCGTGAAGCTCTTGATAACTTTTCAGCTTAAGGATCAACAGTAGTGAGGAAGTCTCAAGCGAAACGCCCGGCCCGACCTACCAACACGCCTCGGGGGGCGACAGGAGAGAGTTAATTATTTACAAGGAAAAGGAATGGACGACAAGGAGGAGGAGGAGGCGGAGGAGCCTTCCCCGGCGGCACGACGACGACTTCCGACGACGACGACGACGACGACGACGACAACGACGACGACGGCGACGACGACGACGACGACGGACGACGACGACGATGCCGCCGATGCCGACGACGACTGGCGACGACGCCGACGACGACGGACGACGACGCCGACGACGCCGACGACGACGACGACGGGCCGCCGGGCGCGGCCCCGCCCCCGCCTCGCAACGGGTGGCCGCCGCGCTGGGCCGCTCTTCCGCGGCGGCCCTCCTGTCGGCGGCCGCGTCGCCTCGGCGCGGGCGCGCGGCGGGTTGCGGCGGCGGCGGCGCGCGGAGCGAACGTGAGAGAGCGTTTTTCTTTATATGTTTCGCGATAGCTTTCTACAGGAGGAATGCTCAAAAACAATTTGAAAACAAATTATCCTGGCGAAAGACCCAACCATATGCAGTTGTGAATGCCGCCATTGTGAGTACCTTCTTCGGTGGCGCTCCGTATGGGGCCACGAACCGCATGAGGGGTATGCCGAAATATGGTGGGGTACACAACGCAACGGAATACGATAGGTCAGATTACGAGAGAATGAACGCGGGTGAGCCAGAGCGCGAGAGAGTCTGAGTGTGAATGGGTCTGCGTGGGAGTGAGTATATTTGCATGAATGCGATCTTGGCTACGCCTAGTGTAAATGTATATGAATGTGAATTGCTCGAGCACGCCTGTCCGAACACTCGTGACACTGGGCGTGGCCGCCGCAGGCAGCTTCCGCGGGGACCCCGACGGCAGCGCCCGCGCGCCGCGACGCCCATGTCGGCACGCCCCTCACGGGGATCGCACCCGCTTCCGCCCCTTCTTTTCCCCCCTCTTTGCCTGCGCGCTCCAAAATCCAAAGCTGCGGGCGCAAAGCAGCGCGGAGTCCCCGCGACGCGCGCAGGTCGCCGCGGAGGGGCCCCAGCGACGCGCGCAGGTCGTCCGCTGCGCGGAGCACAGAGAGCTAGCCGGCCGGCTGATTGCGGGCAAGGCTCCGGCCGCTGGGCAGAGCGACGACGGGCGAGCGAGGCGCTGAGCAGAGCGCCGCGCGGAATCCCCGCGACGCGCGCCGGTCGCCCCGAGAGGGCCCCAGCGACGCGCGCGGGTCGCCCGCGGCGCGAGGCCGAACAATTATGCGGGCAGTCGAGAGAAGGCGCGGCTCGGGGGGGGCGCTCCTCAGGTCAGGCCTCGCGGATAAACTCGGTGAAGCCGAGCTCCCTGGCGAGGGCCGTCGCCTCCCTCCTGCGCCGCTTCGTGCGCGCTGCAAACTGCTCCAGCTGCTTTCGCGGGCCCTCCGGCGGTCCTGCCAGGAAGAACTCGATGCACGGCGCCCGCATGAGCAGGAGGTCCTCGTGGCGCGTGGCGCGCGAGAGCAGCGCATAGAGCTCCAGCCACCAGTCGTCGTCCTCCTTCTTGCCGTTCCCGACCTCGTGGCGGCCGCAGTCCAGGATCACACCTGGGCGACTCGGCCGAGGGAGCAGTGCGCCGGGCAGCCGACGGCCCAGGGCGAGAGTCCACAGGACCGAGGTCTGGCCGCGGACTGCTCGCGCCCCGGAGGTCTGGCCATCCCCGGAGCGCCGTTCCCTCGCCCCGTCGCCTTCGCGCATGGTGCGCCCCTGGCACGCCGCCGTGGCGATGACCCCGCCGTGCGAGAACGGGAAGCCCGTCCGCGTGACCTCGGAGGTGCGGAAGGTGAACGGCTCCGACGTGCGGGGCTCGATGAACACCAGCGATGGTCTTGTCCTTCTACGCATCCGAAAACTCTCCACGCGCGCACGGCGAACCCCGTCTACCTGGCAGGACGCGAAATCAAAAAATCGGCGCTAGTGGCGCCCATGAAAGCAAGCGCACTACGTGAAACACAACCCATCAGAACGCGCTCGTATGAACGACGACGGCGGCGGCGGCGGCGTCGGCGTCGACAGCGGCGCGACGACGACGTCGACGACGACGCAGCACGACGACGACGTCGACGACGACGACGACGACGACAACGGCGGCGACGACGGCGACAACGACGACGACGACGACTACGACGACACCGACGACGACGACCACGACGACGACGACCAACATCTATGTCCATGGCTTTATGAATCCGTTCGTACGGTTGGAGAGGCCATGAGACACCCGTCGCTGAAGAATCCTAGACACCGGTCGGGGCCAGGCCACGCGCCGCGATGGTTCGGATTCTTTGCAATGGATGGCTTCACAGCTAAGTGGACTCAACAAGCATGGACAATGATGATGCGCGCGGGCAACAAAGAGAAGGAAACGAGGAGGAGGGAAAGGAGAAGGAGGGGGAGGGGACCCTCTCTCCCGTTCGCCTGTGGGGGCGCGAGCATGACGCCGACGGCGGCGCCGACGGCGGCGACGGCGGCATCGGCGGCGGCGACAGCGGCCAGGGCGGTCCTTCTTCCTCCTCCTCCTGCTCCTCCTCCTCCTCCTCCTCTTCCTCCTCCTCGTCCTCCTCCTCGCCCTCCTCCTCATCCTCCTCCTCCTCTTCCTCCTCCTCCTCCTCCTCCTCCTCCTCCCTCCCTATGGGACCACGAAACGTGTGAGGGGTGTGCCAAAGTGGGTCTGCGGCGCCATGTGGGGTGCGCCACTTGGACCTGAGATGGAGCTCCCTGTGGGGCCACGAAACGTGTGAAAGGGTGCCATGCGAACTGCACCACTGGGACCTTAGGTGCAGCTCCCTAAGGGGCCACGAAACGTGTGAGGGGTGTGCCAAAAAGGGGCGGTAGCGCCATGCGAGCTGCGCCACTTGGACCTCAGGTGGAGCTCCCTGAGGGGCCACGAAATCTGTGAGGGGTGTGCCAAAATGGGGCGGTGGCGCCATGCGAGCTGCGCCACTTGGACCTCAGGTGGAGCTCCCTGAGGGGCCACGAAACGTGTGAGGGGTGTGCCAAAATGGGGCGGTGGCGCCATGCGAGCTGCGCCACTTGGACCGTAAATGGAGCTCCCTATGGGGCCACGAAACGTGTGAGGGGTGTGCCAAAATGGGCGTGCGGGACGCATGCGGGCACACCCACTGGGACCTTCGGTGGAGCTCCGTATGGGGCCACGAAACGTGCGATGATGGCGACGAGGACAACGATGATGGTGATGACGACGATGATGGTGATGATGACGATGATGGTTATGATGGCGGCCATGATGTTGATGCTGATGACGATGATGATGATAATGATGATGATATGATGATGATGACGATGATGATGATGATGATGACGATGAGGATGATAGGAGGGGAGAGGAGGCGGAGGAGGAGAGGAGGAGGAAGGAGACGCGGGGCACCGTCTCTTCAAAACGAGGACCCAACACCACAGGATGGTTGGGAAATAGTCAGGGGACGATGTTTCTATTATTTTCTGCTATCTGCAGGAGGACACGCCCGACCTAACGACAGACCGTTGCCGGTCCCGGCCTTCCCCCTCCCCCCCCCAGGTAACGCCACGACCCGTGCTGACCTCCGAGCCTCCAAATTGGCTCTGGTTCTTCCTGAGCGTCCCCAGACGTCGCCGGCGCGAAGACTGACGTAACCGGCCCTCCGCCCCCCCTCCCATGTAACGCTCGCTACTGCCCGGGAAAGGAGAGCTCCATCAGCCTTGCGCTGGACGGCGCGCGAGCAGGGTGAAGCCCGCGGTGGTGGGCGCCGAAGAGCAGCACCGTTCGCATCGGGCTCCACCTCTTCACCGCCGCCTCCCACGGAGCCCGCCGGCCCGTCACCTAAGGCATGGGGGTGCAGGCGGGGCCTCCCGGGAGCACACACCCAGGGCCAGACAGGTGCGCACGGCGGACCGGCGGCGGCGTGCGGGGGGGGGGAGGAACACTCCCAGATCTCCGCGGCGGCAGGAGTTTTGCCGACCCCCGCGCGTGGCTCTGGCTCCTGCCTCCGTGGCCCGTGGCTCGGCCCCGGGGCAGTCGAAGAGGTGCGCCCGGGGCGGAGCACTCTGCCCCGAGGGACGGGGCGTCGGGACCTCTGAGGCCGAGCGCGAAAGGAAAGCCACACAGCGTCTGACGGCTGGGGTCGGAGGCCGCCAGGCCCAAGCCTCCATCGATTTCACGCAAGAGCTTCACGGGCGAAGAACGGTAGAAAACAATTGTTTTAGCTGTCGGGGGCGCCTGTCCCAGGGCGGCTGGAAAGTTTATACCCTTCCCGTGGCAACGTAGGGGTCTAAACTTTCCAGCAGCCCTGGGGGCAGGCTCCCCTGGCGATGAAAAGAGTTTAGTATATACCTTCTTCGCCCGCTAAAGAGCGGCCCTGGGTAAGAGTGACCTTTGGTGCGCGGTTTCCTGGGCGCCGCGGGGGGGAGAAAAACACGAGCGCGCAGGGCGCTGCTACCGCATCGCGTTCGGCGATCGGGGGGCCCTAGAGGGCGCGCACCAGGGGTCACTCCGGCGAAGGGTCACACTTACGTGCAGTCGAGGCCAATGTATTGAAAAACGTTGTCCCCTGGCCCCCTCGGTCCGGACCCCCTGACCTGGGCTTTTTCAGAGCAAGGCGGGCCGTTCTGTTTGTAACTTTGGGCCCCTGGGCGCCCTCGCGGGGAGCCTGGGACTTCCAGGGGCCCGGCATTGACAAAACAGTAAGACGTCGGACCTCTGGGGACGTGGTGCTGGCCCCAGGCGAGCTGGAACCCCCATGCGATTTTCTGGGCCTCGCGGGGGCCACCCTGGGCCGAGGACCCCTGGCCATTTTGGCTCAAGCTGCTCCAAGTTTAGGCCAGCGCTCAAAGCGGGGTTTGTGGGCAACACATGGAATCCTGCCGCACATGTCATGGACTTGGAGCTTGGAGCGAGCTCGGAGCTGGAAAAAAACATCGCGCGAGATCTGGTCTCACAGTGAAGCGCAGGTAAAGGCGAAATACGGTGAGGAACTTTTGCGCACCGTGTCGCCGCGGCGTGCCTGCCACGGCAGGGTGCCTCCTCCGTCCAACCTCCTCCTCCATTGCGGCCGTCCTTCTCCCTCCGCCTGCGTCCTCCTCCTCGTCTTCCCTCCTCCCTCCCCATCCCTGGTCATTGCCCTCCTTCCTGGCGGCCCGTTCCCCTCTCCTTCCTAACTTCCTCCTGGCCGTCGCCACTCCCGGTGGGGGCATTGGATAAGGAAGCATAGGATAAGGAATCCAGAGTCTGGAAGGCGGTGGAATTCCAATCGTGAGTTGGCCATGGATATCACCACCGGATATCGGGCCGCCTGCTCCGCCCTCTGCAGGCAAATCCACCCGAGCTACACCGACGCGGCGGGGCACGACGGGGGCGCGCTCGCGAACGCTGTGCAGGCCCACAACGCCCTCGTCTCGGACGCGGACAGGGTGGTTTTCGACCCGGAGCAGCACGGCAACCAGAAGAGATTCGGCGACGCCGTTGACGACGCGGCGCTCGCAAGCCTCCAGACTGGCGCATCCGATGCCGCTCGTGCGCGCCTGAGCTTGCTACAGGCACCTGGCGCTGGCGCTTTCCTCCAGGCGCCGCCCTGCGAGGCCGCCAGCACCCGCTTCCCGCACGGCCTCTGCCAGGTAGCTGTCCAGCGCAGGCTTCGCGTGCAGCTTCTGGACCACGAGGACTTCTGCCCCGCCTGCGGAGAAGTGATGGACGTCTGGTTGGACCACGCCGTTGCCTGCTCCTGCCGCGCTGACAAGACAGAGCGCCAAAACGCGCTTCGGAACCAGGGGTTCTTCGACGCGCATGCAGCCGGCTTCGCGGGGGCGGAGCTGGAGCGGCCAGGACTCCTCCCGCCGCGCGCAGCCAACGAAGGGCCAGCGGGCGGCGAGCAGGACGGCCCAGACTTGGACGCAGGCGACAGGCGCCCCGCGGACGTCTACCTGCCCAGGTGGCGCAACGGGGTGCCAGCGGCCCGGGAGTTCGCGGCCACTTCTGGCATGCGCGGCGACCTCCTCGGCGCGTCTGCCGCGTCCCCCAGCGCGGACACGGAGAGGCACGAGGAGTTCAAGCGGGAACACCTGGACACCGAGCGCCAGTGCGCGGCGCAAGGCTTCAACTTCATACCCATGGTGGTGAAGGCCCACGGCGGCGGGTGGGGGCGCGAAGCCAGGAGAGCTTCCGCGATCTTGGCCAAGCGGGTGGCGGACACCACCGGGGAGGAAGCTGCCGCAGTGGCAGACCGGCACGCCCAGCGACTCTCAGTCTCCCTGCGCCGGGAAAACGCGCGGGCGGTGCTGCGACGGCTACAGCCGTCGGCGGGGGCGCCCGCTGCGCGCCTCGCAGCGGCCACGGCGGCGGCTGCGGCTGACGCCATCTGAATCGCGGTCGCCGTCGGAGCCAGCTGGCCCTCTGCCCCTCCCGCCCCCTGACGACCCCTGACCCACGACACCCCCGACGACCAACGACGACCCCCAACGCCGCGACGACCCACGACGAACCCCCGTGACGACCCGCGTTGGACCCCAAGGCGACCCTCGTTCCTTCCGCCCCCCGCCCGCCCCGCCCCCGTCGTGCGCGCTTGCCTCCTGCTGCTTTTGCTTTTGCTGCCTCCCCTCGCCTCCTGCATGGTTGTGTCTGCTCGTAGCGATTTTCCTTTGTTTCCTGGCCTTCTCCTCCTCCTCCTCCTCCTCCTCCTCCTGAATATCAGTGCCATTGTGTCCAGGCCGGCCGGACGGCACCGAACTACTGCATCTCATGTCCTGTTCTCTAGCCACAATTTTCCAAGGACACGGCGAGCGTTATCGCTCGCCGAGCCCCGTTGGTGTACTGCGTTCAGGCGGCGTCCATTGCGGCGCCCCACGGGTCCACCACCAACGCGTGGGAGGCCACGTGGCAATGCGCCGTCATAGCGCCTGCCGCCCTCTTGCCCCAGACGTCCGTCTTTCGCCTGAGGAGCCTGCGCGTTGGTAATTGGGTCAGCTTCGCAGCCCGCGGGAGCAGGGTCTGGTCCTCTCCGAGGCCTCCGCAATAGTTCACCCTTGCCGTCCTCGGACGTTGTGTGGCAGCTTGAGCCCGCGCGAGCGCGGCTGCAGCTCGCCAGGCCCGCCGCCGGAGTCTCCGCGCCGCCAGTGCGGGCTGATGTTGCCGCCCACGTCGCGCCGTCCTTCCCGACCAGTCATGGCCGCCGGCGCGCCTCATCAGATAATGAACCCTCCAGGGTCTGCAGCCTCCTGTGCACATTCCTTAACGAACGCCCCCACCGTACTGAGACTTCTGTCCGCAACTCACTCCTTCATGGAGGAAGAAAACACGGCATAAAGCATAAACTGTTGGCGCTCCGCGTTGATTTCTTGGATCTGCGCCGGACCCCCGTCCCTGAGGCGCGGAGCGCGCCAGGGGGCGGCGCCGGAGGCGCCGCCGGAGGGGCCCAGCGCGGATCCACGAAATCCGCGCGGAGCGCCAAAAGTTTATTTTTATGGCGTTTTTTCTTCGTCGACTCCATGAGTGAGCCTGAGCTGCAACGATGCGTAATACGCAACACGTAGTGTATCGATACAGAGCTCAGCACGTACACTAAACACGTAGGTCTGACGCGATACGTGAGCCAAGACGAAGGCCAACACGTGCAGCCAACATGCAACGTGTTGACACGGGCGTTTTGACCACGGTAGTGAGTGCTGCGTTTCAAAACAAGCGTATCTAGGCAGCCAACGATTGAGCATGAGCGAGACTGCGCGCGCAGAGAGAACACGTTCCCTGAATATATTTGAGAAAGTCTCAGGCGAAATGGTTGCCGGACCGCCTCCAGACCAGGCGGTCTCAGGCTCCCTGTCCCCCTTGTGGGACTCTTTCAGGTTTTTCCTACCACTTCTAGCGAAACGCTGCTAGAACAAAAACTGCATACATTTAAACTTTCGGAACTCCGTGTGGATTCTTTGGATCGGCGCTGGGCCTCGCTGGTGGGGAGGGGGTCCAGCGACGATCCAAGAAATCCGCGCGAACCTCCGCGAAATTAAATTTGTGTCGTTTGTTGTTCCACCCCATACGAAAGCAGCCCGCATCTGTTCACATACCAACGTGAAGTGATAGGCCGCTGCGGAGCGCTTCGCCAACCGTGAGGCGCACTGATTGGCCAGCTCAGTCCCGTCATGATGCGCTGGCCACAGGGGGCACACCCTCCAATTTGATTCGCCGCGCCACGGGAGCAGAGCTTTCCGATTCTAATGAGCTCAGGTGTCGTCCCCCTGTGCTCGCCGCCGATCCCCGACCCGAGGGAACCGAACACCTGCTCCCCCGCTCAGAGTCGGTCCCCAGACCCCTCCTGGGGTCCATCCGGTGTAGCTTTTCACCCGGGATCTATAATTTCGATAGTCCCAGGGATCGAAAACGGCCCCTGGAAGCCGGACAAGTATGGGCTTCCTAGATGGGGTCGGAGTATAGATAGGGTCGAAGGATCGCGCCGCATCGCCGATACATTGACGATGCATCGGCGATGGATCGGCGTTGCATCGTCGACGTCGACGATGCATCGGCGACGTCGACGTGAAGCAAATCGGGCTCCACATCGAGCCTTATCGTCGATGCGTCGGCGATGCGGCGCGATCCTCCGAACCCGACTGCTCCGACCCCATCCAGGAGGCCTATAGGAAAAGGCAACAAACCTCCTCGAAGCTAGCGCTGCGAACTTGGCCCCCAGACTCACGTTGCTCCCATCGCTATTCAGGACCACATCCCAGAAATAATTTCCAGCACCCAGAAAAGTGTCGCAACAGTGTCGAACGAGTATCGCCTCCCAGGGCCCGACACGTGAAAACCCCCAAGTTTCGGCACTTCCCTGGTGCTCGCGAAACTATTTATGGTGATCGAGGCTAACAAAAACAGGTTGGAACATCAACCCCCGCTCCCAGACCCCCTCTGCGCTCCCGGCGGCCCCACGCGGGCGGCGCCCCCGCGCCTTCTGGGCCGGCGCCGGGCTGTGGGGCCGCGGGCTCGGGCGCTGGCTGCCGCGGCCCGTCAGCCGCTGCGGGGAAGGCGGGCGGCCGAGTGGGCTGCCGGATGTCTTCTCCTCCTCCTCCTCCTCCTCCTCCTCCTCCTCCGCCTTCTCCTCCTCCTCCTCCTTGTCCTTCTCCTCGTCCTCCTCTTCCTCCTCCCTCCTCCTCCTCCTCCTCCTCCTCCTCCTCCTCCTCCTCCTCCTCCTCCTCCCCCTCCTCCTACTCATTCTCCCCCTTTCAACCCCCTCCCCATCCCCTTCGCTTTCCTCCTCCTCCCTCTTCCTGGAACCCTGCCGAGGGCGGGCGAAAACGCCAGTAAAAACCTCAAACCTCGAGTCGATGCCTCCATCCTGGGCCTGCCCCCCCCCCTCCCCAGCGCTGCCCCTGAGGGAGCGGCTCCGCCCTCCCCAGCGCGGCCCCTGAGCGGCTCTTCCTCCTCTCCTCCTCCTCCTCCTCCTCCTCCTCCTCCTCCTCCTCCTCCTCCTCCTCCTCCATCCCTTTTCCGAAAGACCTGTCGCCCCCCGATTTCAACAGCTTTACGGATGGAGGGCGTGCGGTTCTCAGAATGAGGGTCTCGCCATAGCGCCGCGCACATTCGGATTAAAAGTATGCAACACCTTCTAGGATAGGGGGGCATCTCCTTTTCAGAATGCGATTCTCGCCCGTTCGCCGCGCACATTCGTCGTAAAATTGTTCAGCACATTTGAGGATAGAGGGTGGCTCCTATTCAAAATGTGGTTCTCGTCTCAGCGCTACGCATATTCGTTGCGAAAGTTCGCAGCAGTGTTGGAATGGTGTTCTCACACGATCGAGGATTGTCAGGACCCCGCAGTTCCGTTGATTCGAGGTGTTGAAGTCCCAGGACGGCATTCTGGCACGATTGAGGATTGTCAGGGCGCAACAATCACATGTTTTCGCGGCGCTGAAGTCCCAGAAGCTAACTTTCGGCACGATTGAGGATTCTGAGGCGGTTTTCTTCCGATGGGACACTCGCCGCAATGAACATATATTCTTGCAGGGACCTATGAAGAGGAAGCTTAGAGGGAGGTTCTATTGCAGCATCGTCGATGTGTCTTGGGCGTACACTAGCCCTCCTCCTCCTCCATCTCCTCCACCTCCTCCTCCTCCTTCTCCTCCCCCTACTCCTTCACCTCCTCCCCCTCCTCCCCCCTCCCCCTCCTCCCCCCCTCCCCCTCCCTCCCCCCTCCTCACCCTCCCTCCCTTCCTCCCAAAGGAGGAAGGGAGGAAGGAGGGAGGAGGAACGGAAGGCCCACGAACCTCCAGACCTCTGGCGACATGTCTCTGGTTTCAGCCAGGGGCCTTTTTTCTTCGACTCGGGCCCTCGGGGACGGTTTCGGGCCCGGGGCCATTGAACCTGGGCCGGCACGGAAACGGAAAGAGCGCCTCAAACAAATGAACCGCAATTACTCACACCACCCTTCGTACCAGGAGCCTTGGCGTTGAGAGCTTGTTACGTCACCCCGCGCTCTTGGGAGCCTTGGTGTTCAGAGATTGTTGCGTTGCCGCCCGTTCCTGAGCCTTGGCTGGGCCTTGGTGTCAGGAACTTGTAACGTCATCGTTCCCTGCTGGGAGCCTTGGTCTTATCAGCTTGTTTACGTCACTGTTCGCTCTTGGGAGCCTTAGTGTGAAGAGCATTTTGCGTTACCGATCGCTCTTTATTTGGCTTCTCTGAGCCTTCTTGGGGGTCATATTGCGGGTCTTTTTGAGCCCCTTTGGGGGCCTCTTGGGTGCCTCTTGGGGCTTCTTAGGGGGTCTGTGGGGGCCTCCTGGGAGCGTCTTGGGGCGAAAAGCTAGACTTTCGGGTTCGTGGTCCCCCTTCTGGGGCCGTCTTGGGGCCCTCTTGGGCCGTCTTGGGCGCCTCTTGGGCCGTCTTGGCGCCCTCTTGGGCCGTTTTGGGGGACTCTTGGGAGCCTCTGGGGCCGTCTTGGGGCGGTCTTGGGGGCCTCTTGGACCGTCTTCAACGCCGTGGACGCCGAAAAGCCGTGTATGCTAAAAATGTTCGTTTTCCTACAGGAAACCAATGATTTTCGCCTCCTGATGGCCTCGTCGGACGCCTCTTGGGGGCCTCTTGGGGCTTCTTTGGGGGCTGTCGGGGCCTCCCGGGAGCGTCTTGGGGCGATAGGCTAGACTTTTCGGTCCGTGGTCCCCCTCTTGGGGCCGTCTGGGGGCCCTCTTGGGCCGTCCTGGGCGCCTCTTGGGCCGTCTGGGGGCCCTCTTGGGCTGTTTTGGGGGCCTCTTGGGAGCCTCTTGGGCCGTTTTGGGGAGGTTTTGGGGGCCTCTTGGGCCGTCGTCAACGCCATGAAAGGCGAAAAGCCGTAGATGCTAAAAATCTACGTTTGCCTCGGGAGAATCGATGATGTTGGCATCTTGGGGCCCTCTTTGGACGCCCCTTGGGCGCCTCTTGGGCCGTCTTGGGCGGTCTTGGGCTCCCTTGGAGCGCTCTTCGGCCGTCTGGAGGGAGAATCCGAAAAATATACAAAAACCCGAAGGAGAAAAACCCAAAATAGGACCATTAGACCCCGCCTTCCCGCCTCGCCCCTCCCCTGGACCCCTCCCTAGAAGGGCTTCGCCCCCTGCTCAACGTCACTCGCTCGTACCTCGCTCTTTCCGTCACATGGATCTGGGGCGAAGAGCTTCCCCCGGGGAGGGGCCGGGACCTCATGGGGGCCGCGCATGAAAACGAACAAAAGAAAAACAGTTCACCGGGTGCCTGGGCAACGGTCTGCTGGGCGCACGGCCGAGTGGGCTGCGGGCCGCCCCTGGAGCCTGGCATCGGCCGTCTTGAACGCAGCGCAAGACGGCAACTCTCCGCTGTCTTAGGCCTTTTGGGGCCCTCGCAAGGCCCCGAGGCCGTCAAAAGACGATCCTGGAGGAAAAGGCTGGCCCTGGGGAATGGGTCGGGACTTTCAGGGACCGCGCATGGCAAACACCAAGGCATTGGATGTCTGGCAGCCTCCTCACGTCGTGCGGCTGACGTCGCCGTTGCTGCTGCTGATGCTGCTGCTGCTGGGAGGAGGAGGAGGAGGAGGAGAAGGAGGAGGAAGAGGAGGAGGTGGACCAAGGGAAGGTGGAGGAGGGGACAGGAGGGAGACAATGACAAGAGGAAATCTGATCCAGAATGTGGTGCACGCTGGGGGCGAGAGCGCCACCCTGAGCGACGGGAATCAAGCGCCGATCATGAAATGTGACCAGCGCACCAGCGGGAGCACTATTTGTGAAAACACATGCTCCTGCCTGCTGCTGCTGCTCCTCCTCCTCCTTCCTCCTCCTCCTCCCATACCGATACCTCTTCATCTTGCTCATCGTCCTGCTCATCCGCCAACTCCTCCTTCACACGTTGGGAATGCAATTGTGGAAGCCCTGCGTTGACGTTTCCGAAGGAGACGCTCAAGCAAGGCTCTTGCATATGAGCCTCTGCTCAAATGAAGGGTCACCATTGGGCTCTCTTTGCGGGACGCGAACGGAGTGCTCCCCTAAGTCGAGCCTTAGCCCATCGCCATCCTCTCATAAGAGGAGATGAAGAAGTTCTCCAGTCCTTGGGAGTGAATAGCGCCTCTACGAGGTCCCAAGGGATATCGCCCTGGACGTGGTGAGCCTCACTTGTGAGCGACTCCATGGCGACTAAACGCTATTTTACACAGATCTTCACACATCGTGTCAGCGAGGTGCTCCGTCGAGGCCCTCCTTCACGTAAAACTCGTCATTGGCAAGCAAGACTTCTAGCATGCGATGGAGGCCCACGTCCTCCCGGTGAATTTACCGTGTCTGCGGATGAGCTTCGGCAACGACCGGGCCGCAACAGGCTTCGAGTACGACATCTTTACAGACGATGTCGTGCCCGCCGAACTTTTACCCCGACCCGAGCCGCTCCTAGTCGTCTGAAGATGGTCACGCTCAACACGCAAGGTCTGAACTGGCAGCTGCTGGACCACAGGGACAAGCTTGCGGATCTGGTGTACGCCGCTCGTCAAGGGCAGTGGGATGTTGCCATGCTCACTGAACTTCATTCGACGGACTACGCCGTAGTTGCCTTGGAAGAATCTTTTCTCGTTGTTGGAGGGAAATTAGGATTATTACTGGCTCCTTGGATGGTTGACTGTTGGCGCGATCAACACCAACGGCATTGGCTCAGCAACGATGGCCGTGCCATCGCACTGGCTGTCAAGTGCGGCCAAGAGCGTCTCATTCTTGTCAGCAGGTATGCGCCGACGGGCGACCCCATGGAGCGGGAGCGCTACTGGGACAACTTGTCTCTGCTATGTACTCAACTTCCCACGTCCGCTACGCACATCTGGGCTGGTGATTGGAACAGTCACGTTGGCCATCCTGCTTCTGCGGCGGAATCGCAGGAGCGAGAGGGCAAGGCTGGCCGTTGGGGGCTGACTACTCCGACCCAGCAAACTGGCCGTGAGCTCGGGGAGTGGCTGGGCGAGGTCTCCATGCAACACGCTGACTCTTTCATTCCGCTTCGTCGCCGAGCTACGTGTGCCATGCAACGGCTGGATGCGGAAGGGAATGCACGATCGTATGAGCTTGATTTCTTCGTGTGCGCAGAGGAGACACGACGCCGTTTGGAGCAGTTCGTTGTTTATGCCATGCCGCACAGTGACCATTATGCAAAGTCGTGTAGCTTGAGTCTCCGTGGGGCTCGGTCTCAACTGAAAGAGCGTCCCAAGGCCCGTCTGGCCGTCGAGCGGATGACAGGCTCCTCCCCCGAGGCCGCAGCTTTGGCAGGACGCTTCCGCGAGGCTGTTGAAGCATCTCTCCCTGACACCACTCCTGGGGCGCCACTTCCTTGGCCGGAGTTCTGCGAGCACATCGTCTCAGCCGCAGAGTCCACGGTCGGCCGGAAGGCGGAGGTGCTTGGTCTTCCGTACGAGCAGTTCCGCCTCCCCGAGGTCCGAGGGCGCCAGAAAGAGATCCAGCGTCTCTGGGATGCCGTCCGCAAGGCCAGGGGCACCACGGACATCCAGGCTGCCAGAGAACGCCACAAGGCGGCCAACCGTGA